AATCGTTGATAGATAAGTAAAAAAAAAGCAGATAAGTGTGGAAGTATAAAGGCTTACGTCCATATCACATTGAAACACCACTTCTCATTCGATCATCGAGTTTAAGCAACGTCGAACCTGTTTGATACTTAGATGGTTGAACGCTTGAGAATAGCAGGTCATTGGATGTGCAGGTGGTGTAATAAATAATAGTTCGAAATGAGAAATAGGAGGGTCGAGTTCGAATTCTTATCGGGTTCGTGACATTGACTTACGCGTAAATACACTTGAACTATCTTGAGACGAAAAGAAAGATGATCGCCCAAGCGTATAATATCCACCCCTACCAGCACGAATTGGGTCAGCTTGGTAGTGTTATGGTCCATTCTTCATCATGGATCTGGAGAAGGCTTACGCCTAAAAAATGTCCTTCACAGGCTGAGAAGAAAGTATACAAAAAAATGTATTAAACAGAAGAGAATACAAGAAAATAATTAATTATACATAGATAATTAGAACTGAATACAAAGCTAAGCTTGCAACTCATTACAATAATGTCTCGATTTTAATGAGTGCTCAACTTATATGTTCTTCTGTCAGACTAAGTCATCGTTATTATGCACCTTGATATTCAGGGGGACATTCACTTCTTAGAAGGTTACGCCCTTTGTACCGCCCAGCAGCTTTCAGGTGCCTCTCTTTCTAACTCGGTCATCTTGTTAAATTTTCGAGTCAAACCCTTCATAGAATCCACAGGGAGAGTGCATTCTCATTCGTCTTTCAACAATAAGGCTATGTTTAATTTCAGTTCAAGGCTCAATAAAAACTGTCTCAAGATATCGATTTTTTAGGAAGCAAGATAAATTCTACTGAAAAGGATGTGAAAATTCGCATAGCTAAAACCTGGGCTACCTTGAATAAAATGGATGTAATCTGGAAATCTGATTTACCAGACAAACTCAAGCAGATATTCTTTCGAGCTACTATAGAGGCTATGTTAATGTGTAGTGCCACTGCCAGGATATTAATTAAAACCCAATAGTCTAAGCTTGATGGAACCTACACTTGGATGCGGAAAACTATACTTAATATCTCTTGGATACAACATCCAACTAAATCACAGTTGTATGGACGCATCCCTGATATTTTTACAATCTTTCGCGAATGCATACTGTGCTTTGCAGGACACTGCTGGCGAGCACAACAACTCGCGAGTGATCTACTGTTCTGGACGCCTAGCCATGGAACAAGACGGTTTAGTAGACCAGCAGCCACCTACATTGGCCAGATACGAAAGGAGCTTCCGATCTTGATGCAGGATCGTAATGGTTGGCGTAATAAGTTAATGAATGTCCCTGCTAACTTGACCGAATAAAAAAAAATAAATGAATACTCAACAGTTTCACTAATAATCATTGGGTTATTTGTATTTTTGACAACTAATTTGTCCATGCCGGTTCGAATAGCAAAGCATGTCTTCATACTCTCATGATATTTACAAAAGTACTGATCTTCTTTTATCTGCCCTGTCCCTTCAAGCCGTTGGTGATCATGTCTTTCTACAGCTTTCCATCCTTAGTAGATCTCAATAAATTTTGTTTTTGCGTCATCTCTCCCAAGCCCTCCTCCGACATTTATTCTCTCACCAGATAGTTTATGCGTTTTGTCTCCCTCTGTCACACCTACCTTCGATTTGCCCAGTGGGTATCAAATTTTCCCTGCAGTCTTTCCTCATAATGTGCTCCATGCTTCTTCCTGATGTGAAGTATAAGTGTCCTTTATGTTTTCATTGTTTCTAGAACTTCGTCGTTGCGTACAGTTTTGGTCCATGGATCTCTGCATCCTTCTATAGAACTACATTTCTGTTGTTTCAAGTCTCTGCTTCTACCATTTTGAGTTATGCCCTATTTAGCTTTCTGCATGCATGTCAAAAGAGACTGAATAAAAGTATTCGATAGAAAAAGATTTAAAGTAAATCATTTCCATTTTCCATGGGAAGATTAATTCTATGGTCTTTTGGATAGTATATTATGTAGAGCTGCAAAGGGAAGGACGAATGTTCCTTAAACGGCAATTGTTTGCAAAACAATGTAATATACCAAGCCTCTGTAAAATCAGCAGATAACGAAAATATATAGGAGCAGTAAGTGAAGAAAGCTGGAAACAGAGAAACTACTCACACAAAACATTCTTTACAAATAGTAGACACACGAAAAACAAAATGATTTCTAAATATAGATGGCAAATTAAAACAAAAAGCAAATTAAACCAAACAAATGGAAAATAAATAAATCCTAAAACTGTAAACTATGTCTGGAGGAGTAAGTAACTATAATTACCTTCCGAAGCCAACACAAATTACTAAATAAACGATCAGAATTTCTGAAAATGTAGACACAAAATCGAATTTTTACTACGTTACTTAAAAATCTAAATCTAAAAACAAATAAGGAAAAATAAATTAAATACATAAGTAAAATAAAATAAACTAAAAATCTAAATCAACAAATTATGTAAATAATAAAGAAATTATCAAACTACGAAAGTACAGAAAAAGACAAGTAAATATAATAAAAATCAACAAAAAATGATAAGGCATTTTTTTCACTAATTGTGGAACTCTCCTCTTCTTGCTTGCCAGTCAAATTTGATCATCAAAAATTTAAATGCAATGTCAATCGTTATCTTCTGACTTCTTAATTCCTGTTCCTTTTTGTTCCCCTCTCCTTAATATTACTTTTTATCATATTTTCTATCACTTAGTAACCCCTTGCGTCTTAGTGGTTTTAATGCCTTGCTTTAGTTAAAATTATAAAAAGGAAAAATAAACACAGGGTGAAGAATGGGGCCTGATATCTTGAGAGAACACAAAACGGTTCTCTATCTTCTGTAGTTCTGCAGTTTGCGTGAAAGACTTGGTAGTGATGTCTGCTATTGATGGTATAATAGTTGATTACACAAGATATGCGGTCCCTTAACGATTTCCAGTTTCTCTTCCCTAGCATTTCTCTCTATGACTGGCAAATATCTCCAAAGAGAAACGTCTTTGGCAAACGATAATCTTCCATCCTGAATACCTGGCGAAACCATCACAGCAAAATCTAGCTGGTTGTAGCAGCAGCTATCTTGAAGACTTCGATATTTGTAATAAAATCCCTCCCCCAGTCTACTGTTGTAGATATAACGCTGATGGAATCATTCGAGGCAGTAAGGATGGCACTAGTGGAGTCACCAGTATTTGGTTCCATTAAAATTTGTAACGAGAATAATCGTTTTATAGACACTTGCGAACACAATCAAACACAATAGATCATACGACTGCTGGAAAAGGCTCTTATCTGACGATGTCCCTAGTTTCGTCGCCAGGCCATGATTCCCATTAACGTCCTAATGTCATCAGTAATTGTTAATTTGACGTTATATTTCAGGAGAACCAGGTGGAAATAAAAGCGTACACCTGTTGCTATCAACCACATATCAGTCAGATATCTCACGGCTGGAGTAAGAATAACACACCAGCAACCTGATTGCAGCAGTTCGAACATTAGACATAAAGATAAATTTTCTACCATTCTACGCTTCACCATTGCCAAAATATCTCCATTCACTGATGCAACTTCGCAGTTCGACGTATAAAGTTTGTTTTCGGTATGTTTAACCAGCACTTTGACTGAACTCAAAGTCCTATTTTAACCTACAAACGACACTTATCCGTGCCACTGTCAACACTGGGTCGCAAAGAATGTCCTAACTGAACTGTAATGGAAAACACGCAACTTCGAACTGTAGGCATTTTAGCGACCAGCTTGCTTCAAGCAAAACTAATTTAACTCATGAGAATGCGTGTCCAAGAAACTTGTCCACTCATTACCATGTGATGTAGGCGGTCGGCCAGCTTATCTCCGAATGGATCTGGCCAATCCTCTTTGCCCTGTCGTTTGTTTAGCTGGTATGTGGAACGATTAGACAACCCGACGGATACTAATATTCCAACATACCCCAACCAGAGATAAACATAAGACAACAATCTAAACACAATATATTTTCAGGGTTACCATTTAACTATGATGATCAACAATGAAATAATAGATAGATAGATAGATAGATAGATAGATAGATAGATAGATAGATAGCTATCGAAAAACTAGCCATAATAATCAAAATTGTATAATTATTGTTACTTTCACGCCCCAAACGAATGTTCCTCCTAACAATCTGGCAGCAGTGTTGGTTCATATATGTACACTGTATCTGTCAGCGTTCTATCTCCAACATTGATCAGTCTTCACCCACACATGTCGGCAGACGGAATTCGCACTATTTAAAGAAACAGGGCGGTTATTCAGACATGGGTACCAGAACAATAATTATTGAGTAATAGGATATATATATATATATATATATATATATATATATATATATATATATATATATATATATATATATATATAAGATTTACATTATTCGGACTATTGTCCTCATCATTGTCACCATATTTATTTCAACGTTTCGGCCGTTGTACACTTTGGCTTTCTTCAAGTGGTTGGAATGTCGAACTGAAACCTTGTAATGATTATGCTGTCAAAGATGAGGACAATAGTCCGATTAATCTATATAGTGTACATAATATCTCAACTCAGAAATATATATATATATATATATATATATATATATAATATGATAAATAAATTGTTTTATTGTATGCTACATTTATGCGAAGAGGTTCTCAATATCAGTGGCAAAGCGCATGTAAATAGAAAAGTGGACACTAAGATCAAAACTTAGCGCCGACAGTATGTTTCTGGCTTCAACGCCATGGCCTGAAGATAGCATCCAAACATGAAATAGACAGTGCTGACCTCAATTGCCCCCTTTTACATTATATATATATATATATATATATATATATATATATATATATATATATATATATATATATATATATATGTGTGTGTGTGTGTGTGTGTGTGTGTGTGTGTCTGGGATATAAAATATGCAAAATTATAAGCGAATATGTCTAATCAAATCAGTATTTCAGGATAGATAGATAGATAGATAGATAGATAGATAGATAGATAGATAATGAAACGTCCACTAATATAATATGGATAGCATCAGGGCAGGTGGATGAGTTGGAAGACAGAAACAAGAAAATTACCTTGAAAAATAGAAAAAATACCAGGGAAAATAAAAATAGAATTTAATATTTCATCTGTATAAACCAATAAAATAGCAACATTGTTTGAAGAAAAAATAGGTAGGATTATGTGCTTAATCTATTTCACTGCAAGCTCTGTTAAATATCTCATACATGAATTTTATTCTCCTTAAGAAATCATTATAACCATGATAATCGATACATGTTCTCGTGAAGTGCATTGGGATTATTTTTATTATTATTATTATTATTGCTTTATTGTTGTTTGCATCTTCACATCTGCAGAATGTGGGACCCGTCTTTAGGTATCATCTGACAGGAAGTCTCCTCAAATTTCCGGTATCCTTTTTAATGTTCTTGTTCACAATCATGTCACGGATACAAAATGTGGTAAAAAATAATTTTATTTATCTGCAAACGAATACTTTGTCAAATAATGTGAGTATTTTGGAAGATTAAGAATTGATCTTGAAGAATTTATCTTTTAAATGGGCGAAAGTAGTTCAAATTTTAGTCGAGAAAGCATATATTTCTTTGATTCTACGTAAGGCGTGAGTCGAACTTGTTCTCTCCTTATTTTATCACCATTTATCATAACCATCTTCCTGTCATCATTGCGCCAAGTTGGTTGACAGAAAAATGAGGTAAATGCTAATATGGACAATTTACTCTCCTTGAATCATTTTACTTCTGCAAAAGTCGCAGAAGAATGGCTAATATATTCAGCGTAAAAGCTGACAGATGGAAGTCAGATATGACTGCTATATTTGTTTTCACCTTTGACACATTGTGGTCACAAAAGAAATGTTTAAAAGAATAGAATCATAGATACACGCTATCATACGAATGCAAATTTTGCCAATAGAATATGGTTGATATGATTTGATGGCCTTTCAAACTGGATATCGTAGGTTTTCATAACCTTAAATGAAGCATCATTTTGAAGATGACGATTAAAATTATAAAAGATGTGGGATGGATAAAATTTTCAAGGTCTGACAAAGATATTCTCATGGAATGTGACTAAATGAGATTTACTTTTCAACGACTTCATACGGTTCCGCACGCTAATTCCGTCTTTGTTGAAGCTGCTTTAATCTTTTTGGTCAATAAAATAATCAACTGCAAATATTATGTTATCAAACTGCGATACTGGTTCACAGCCAAGTATTTTTTCATGCTAGGGAACAAATGATAGTCAGATGTGTTCAAATCAGGCGAAGAGGGAAGTTGATCAACCAATTCAAATCCACAGTCACGCCCAGAAGAAACTGAGACCAAAGATTTCTGTACTGGATAATACTTATGACGTAATAATACCTCTTTAGTCAGTTTTCCCAGGCGTCTGGTCTTGATAGCCTTTCTTGACTTCTTCATCAAGTTAGCATAGTACTCTACGTTGATGATGTGACTCTTTTAAAGTTAGTCAATAAACAATGGTTTTTGCATTCCAAAAAACTAAAGCCATCACCTCCTCTAAGGATGAAACAACTATGACCTTCTTTGAACCAGGTGAAGAGAGGTGATTCCATTGTCTCTGTGTTTCTGGCCCAGTGAACAAAGCACTCATTCTTATTTAGGAAACTTTCAAGGAAACAAGTTCGATCGGCCTCAAACAATGAGAGATTTTCCCGTGATATGCTTAGTCTGGTAGGTTTTTGATCAGGTCTCAGAAGACTTACACACACAAAGCAGTAACATTTGTCATGCCAAGGTCATTGTGTAGAATATCCTCACCTCTTTCACGGGTTATAGCATTAGATATTTGATTTATAGTCAATCGTCTTTCACTGTCTCCATGTGGTAAACGCGTTCAATGCTTTCTTCGGTAGTGACAATTGCAGGACGTCCATACCGTAGGTCACCTTGAAGACGTACACTTTCCCTCCTAAATTCAGCTGCCCACTTTTGCACTGTTGATCAAGCTGGAGATTTACACCCTAATGTAGCACTTATATCAGTAGAAATGTCCTTGACGGGTAAATCTAGGTATTTGTTAACATTAAGATGCCAAATTTTATCAATTTTCAAGAAAAGCCGCTACTAAAATTACATACAAAGACTTCTTTGAACAGTTAGATATCAGTTTATCTGGTAAGAAACAATGCAGTTATTAATATTATTAATAAGTGTTGAAATTAATGTCTGCAATATTTCACAGCTTTAGCCAAGCTTCTTCATAGTCAGCTTATGAAATTTGCTTGATCGTTATTACACTTTCGCATCCCCACCGTCCACCATGTTTTTTTTCGTGACAACGGATAAAGTTCCGTGACAATTTGATGCCAGAAGTTGTGAAAAGGCGAATTACCAAATCTTTGAGACCGCATAAATTCCGCCAGGTATTCAGAAATCATTCTCCTGTTGGTGGGGACCATTCATGGCCTTAAATTTAGCCTGGACACACTGCAACATTGCTTCAAATCAATTCGTGATGACTCCATTATTGGTATCTACGAAGTCCTGAGTTTGGCTGACAGCGACATGGTTGAATCCATTTATTATCAAACCATCGTATGAGCCCATGTCGTACCTGGGGGAAACCCATTGCTGAATGACAGGAAACAACGTGTTTGTAGATCGATCATTCCAAAAGAATTTTAAAAAAAAATCAAATATGAACAGAAAAATCAAAAACGAATATTGGTGGGAGATAGGGAAGGGGCGAAAGTGTAATAGCGCCCTTTCCCTGTACATGTTCTCGCGAGCGATTATAATTTTTTTTTCCTAAAATAATCTCTGGAAAGTATTCCATTTTTGTCCCCTTATATGACAACATCAGAATAGGTATCCTGGTTTATTCAGTATGGTGTTGAGAGTGGGTGTGAATAGGGACACGTGAGCGCAAGAGAGAAAATAATAATAATAAAAAGAAAGCATTAAGATAAGAAATATTGTGATTTATAAATATAGAAGAATAAAATAAAGAAATAGAAAAAAGATAGCAACGTTAAAGAAGGAAAGAAGGAAAATTTAGGATGAATGAATTTATTCAGTATTATACATATCTACGTTAGCATGCGTAGAAGGTGACGAGAGAAAGTGGATGTGAAGGTTAATATAAATAAATAATTTCTCAGAGCTAACCTGTAGAAAAAAGATAATATTTATAAATGTAAAAGACAATATGAAAAACTGTAATAGTTGCCGACGCGTTTCGTCCGATGTGGACTTTTTCAAGGCAGAAACAAAATGAATTTATTAAACAAAGTAACTAATAATAACAAAACAAAATGTCCTTAGCAAATAGAAGAATTTAGAGAATGCTATTTTCATACTGTTAACTGAAAATACGTCATTTACTCTCACGTATGGAGATATTGTCATTATTGCTGTATTGACGGATTCAACAATTTTCTTTTGATTTCTTGATACTGTTCTGTACGTGTGTTTGAGAGAGAAGTAATTCTATTAAGAAAGGTGAAATAGGGAAAAGGCCTGGGTGTAGATTAATATTTGAGTAATATTCAATGGCGGCATTCTCGAGGATTTTCATTCTGAGTCAGTTATTTTCTTATTTTATGAGTGTAGCATTTTCAAAATCAAAATTATGGTTGAATTTATTTCTATGTATGACTAGTGAATTAGTTAAGTTGTTTTTTGTGAGGTCTCTTTCGTGCTCATAAATGGATTTCTTTAAAAATTTCTACTTGTTTCTCCAATATATTTGGAGGAACAGTTTTGGCAATTTATTTTATAAATGCCTGCTTCAGAAATATTATTGCTATTAGGGTTTGAGGCTCTGAGTATATTCATAATGGTTTTGGAAGTGTTTGTGACTATTTTAAGATTATTTAGATGGGATAGGTTATTCTGGGTAGTGGACGTGACAGAATTGGTCAGTAGTATTATGTATCTGTTTTCATGTGATTTGTTTTGCGGATTATGTTATTATTTTTGTATATACAACCGAAACAAAGCCATAAAAATGTTTGGATTTTAAGAATTAATAATGAATTACTGATACAAGTAATACTATTTAACCCATAGCTAGAAGGAAGAATAGACTTTCCCAAATGTATTTGCGTGTAACTGAATATAAAGAACCCGACTGGAATTGGATCTCGACTCTCCAATTTCCAGTTTCGCGCCATTATCCATTAAACAGCACACATATCTAAGCTTACAGCATCTGGTATTACTAAGCGGTTACTGACCGGGCTAGACATTGCTTAATTTCGGTGATCGAACGAGAACCGTTGTTCCAGCGTGATATGGCTCTAAGCCAGAAAGAAAGAAAGGAAGAAAAAATGATTAATATTAACATCAAATAACTGAAAAGAGAAAGAAAGAAAGAAAGAAAGAAAGAAAGAAAGAAAGATGAGGAGGAAAACAAAACGAAGGAAAATAAGATTGTGATATAAAACAACGAACTGTGAACTCCTCTGAAAGTCCGTGAATCAAGCAAAGAAAGAAAGAAAGAAAGAAAGAAAGAAAGAAAGAAAGATGGGTGGGGAAAACAAAACGAAGGAAAAGAAGATAGTGATATGAAACAACTACCTGTGAACACCTCTGAAATTGCGTAAATCAGGCGCAGAAAGAAAGAAAGAAAGAAAGAAAGAAAGAAAGAAAGAAAGAAAGAAAGAAAATAAAGTGAATTTTGGATTAGGGTGAAGAGACATGTAGAAACAATAAAACATGCTAATACGAACCATTCAGATGATCAAAAGAAAGAAAATATTAGAATTAATATAGAAGAAATAATTAAAAGTTGTGTGAAGTTAATCGAAAGAAAGGTTATTTTATAGGAAGACATTAAAATAGTGAGGGACTGCATAACTAACCGACTAAAAACAAATATCAATTTATCCATGACTCTTCGTAACACTTAGATGTAATCAATCATTCATTTCACTTACTGTGCGTGCTATTCCCAAGGTATGCACCATATAATAACGGCTACTCTGAAAATGCTATATCGTAATTGATTATACTGGATCTATCGTCTCCTTGTGATTTCGACATGGCTTTCCCTCATTAGAAGAGGGTTAATATTAATCTGCGCGAGAGAACGTAGCCAATTTCGCAGACCTCCTGATCGTATGTCCTGATATTCTGAAGAGACCAATCATACATTTATTGATAACTATAGAATTAAAGAGGGCCTACGTATTCGGGACCATAGTCTCACATAATCAGAAATTTTATGTATGAAACTGAAAAGGAAAATTTATCATATAATTTGATGCAAAGTTCCATTTTGATTCAATCCAACAATAGATATAATAATCAAATGAAAAGAAATCGAAGAAATTTGTATACATATTTTCGGATGTTCCATATAGACTGAAAAATTATAAGCGATTTTCATGAACAATATAATTTTGAAGAAAAAAGTTTACGGTTGATTGATGCAAGACTGTCTCTTTTTGGAAGAAAGCAAATAAAAGCAGTAATATTTTCCGTTTATGACCAGCCATAAATTATATTTGATTGTTTTTCAGCTGAAGAGACTGTCAAAATTAACCTTACCAAAGATCTGCTGATAATTATTTTAGTGATTGTACTTTAGATTTGATTTACAAAATAGAGATCTAATCAATTGGAATGAAAAATATAGCATTTTCATTTTAATTACAAGATAATTTTCTTTGTATCGCTTTTTTTTTTTTTTTCACTTATGTGCACAAGTAGACAATAAATGTATCTACGAAAGTAATTTTTAAATAGGCTTTTACAGATATAGGAGAAAAATTATTCTGACATGATACGATTAATCTCTCAACCTCCCAAATCTAGTGAATCAACTTTGTTTACATTGTTAAACAATAATTAATATTTAATTAAATGATTAATGTAATCACAGATTGCAGAAAGCTTGCAAACATAAAAATTGTCAATAAGAAAAAAGAAAAAAATTATCACGTGAGTTGGAAAGGTATCAGATTTGAATGAATTAAAGAATAAGAAAATATTATGTTGCTCCTTTTGAGATCTACGACAGAAAACCTTTTCTGTCTATATCTCTGACATAAGGTATTATGATTACATGAATTATTTACATTATTCGGATTGTTATACAAATGTGGCAATGAAGACGAGGATAACAGCCCGAATAATGTAAATAATACAAGGAATTTTTTTAATTTATATTTGTCTACACAAATACAGTTATAACGACCTTAGAATTCGATGAGTTCTGTAAACGTGTGAATTCACTGTTTTTGTTTGATTTTACTTCTGTTATTATCAAAATTTTATACAATAACGTTGAGAATTATGTCGTCTACATTGCGGAAAATGCGCCGAGCAAGGCAATATTTCATAATTTTCTATTAGCAAATATTTTCTAAAGAAAATAGTCATCTTCCTTTCCTTCCAGATTGTACACTTTAATAAGTTCGTAGAAAATAGCAACCGAAACTGCGATAGCAATAAAAATAAAACGAAGAAAGTATTCTCTATACAGAACAGCATATTTAAGCCTTGTTCGTATCAAGGTATATAGCAGTTACGATTCTTGCTATGTTCGGAAAAGTTTTCTGGTAACTTCAGATCTCCATCATTTTTGCTTATATTATCCAAACATCAACAGTTCTGGGTTTCCTCGAATTTTTACACCGTCTAGATCTTTTTTGTAAATGTCTTCGTATCCGTTCATAATTTCCATGAGTATAGATGTAGTTTTTATTTTTATTCACACAATTCTACCATCTATCGGACAAGGGATTCGTACTTATTGATAATCTCGTGGTATCAATCTTTGGTTCTTTGAGAAAGGCTTGTCTGATGTTATCAATAGCATTCTCTTGTTTATCCCACCATGTGTATATTTAGGCGAAAATATTCGTTTACATTTTTGCCGCTGAATCATTATCCTTACTGAATTGTAGGCATGTTCAATACTTCGCTAAAAAAAGAGCATGCCCTGATGAAATAGGCTCCAAGGTTTGAAATTTGCATTTTACTTTGCCTTCAACAAGTTGGCATCTATTTGCAAAACTTTCCTTAACTATAAGAAGCCAATTTATGAATGAGATGTTCATTCAAAATTTTTGTTTCAAAGTAGTGAACATCTTACTTTGCAAAGTTATCTGCTAGTTATCTATAAAATATAACGTTATGAGATATAATACTGAATTCACAAATTGCATTTAAATATTACAATATTTATGTTTCTGATACAAAAACAAAGCTGGAAGATATAGATTTGAAAATGGTTAACGGGGGTTGGGTATTCCTTAAGTGTTTCACTGACACTTTCTTTATCATGGCGGTCTCCCGAGATGTAATTGGTAACGGCACGATTCAGCTATAAAAGTGATTTCCCTCATCGAAAAAGATAATACATATTCAATTCCTGCCGGGAGGCATATTTTTTTATTTTTTGTTTTGAAAGACTTCTTGATCTACGCTGGTTATCATTAATTTCACTGTTTAAGAATATTAAACAAAAAACGGGGATATAAATTTAAAAACGTGTAACCACAAAAAACATAGTAAGAAGAAATAATGATATTTGTATATGTTTTACATAAACGTCTGGTAATGATGCACTAGTAATAATCTGTACTTTTATTCTTTCTGTGACTATGTTGATGTTATAATTGAGAATTAGATCCTCTCTGTCTGATGTTACAGCCGAGTGATGATGAGCCTATCTCACATCCTTCACTCAGCTTATAAAACATTCCTAACCATAAGTTGTCTTCCAGACATTCCTTCACCCTGCGCACCCCCTGCTATATTAAGTATCCTTAAAGTGTTGTTGGAAGGCAGACGGTTTCCTGGAAATATTCATGTATGTGTCAGCTACAAAGCAGGCAACGTAAGATACTCATTGTTAACATTTTCCGACTTGCACTGCCAGGTCTTGTTACCTGTGTATTTGGGACTGAACCACCTTTACAAATAGTCTTACTTGAATGTGCTGTAACGTCTCTCAAAACCCATTAGTGGCTGCTCTTGTGCACAAGGGTGATGTCAATTTGAATGATCTCCGACAAGAAAGCTCTATTATTATTATTATTATTATTATTATTATTATTATTATTTCCTCCTTTCTTTGATTTTTGTTGAAAACTAATCTGTTACCGGAACCTAACCAGAGACCTAAGTTCAGAAATGGCTTCATAACATTTTCCACTGATTATTTTTATAAAAAAATAAAGCAAAAAACAAAACCTATGATCACATTTTACATAGATAATGCTCTTTGTGAGCTGTACTTGTCAGTACAATTTTTTGCATTTCTTTAACCCTTTGACCCCTGGGTTCCTGAACAATTTTAACCCTTCTGCCTGAGCGCCTGAGTCAAAATTCGCAAATAATTGGTATGTAATGTTTCAGGGTAGATATAAAAATAGTTACAAGTGTTTATCCATCGTTCAATCGGTGGGTGGGTATTAAATCTTTTTTCTCTACCACTGTTCAGTCAGTGGCTGGACATTACGTCATTTTTCTCTACCACCGGTAAAGCGATGGTCAGGGCTCAAAGGATTACGGCAAAGACTACCAGGAATCCCTTTAATGAGTCTATTGGAATCTCCAACTCCAACTGGAATTGTTGATCTCATATGCCACATTTTTTAGATTTCCACTTCAAGATCCTTGTATTTTGTTAATTTTTTAACGATCTTCAAAGATACATTACAGTCTGCAGAGACTGTCATATTAATAAGAAAACACACTCTGTTTTATTTTTATTATTATTATCATTATTATTATTATTATATCCTGATTTGCTTTGTGATACAATACTTTGCCATGTATTTAAGCTGAGACTTGAAGTAAAAGAAGGTATAACTTAGAACGATATTGAGCATATTATATTGAGAGAGATTTTTTTATATATAAGTGAACAGTTCTCATGAGCACAATCTCTTTTCTGTATTTTTAATCATTCCTAGTGCTCCTATTATTATTGGATAAATATCTATATTTACTCGCCACATGCATGCAATTGCTGTTTCCAGGCCGTTATATTTGTAAACTTTGTTAAATACATTTGTAATCTCAATGTGAGAAGATATGCTCTTTGAAGTCAATTATTATCTCTAGTTTGTTGGCTAGCGTTAGTGATGTTGATATACGAGTCAGAGAAATGTCATATTTCCACCTTCTAGCCTTTTTTTGTGCTCATACCATTTTTCTGCATGTAGAACTATACAATATTGGCATATCTTCCAATGCAGGTATTCCTTAACTGAATCTTGTCTATATTTAAATTCATTTGGGCTGAGAATAAGAATACCCCGATGTTAGATCCTCTATATCAGAGTTAGTCAAACTTGCTTAATGTAAGAGTCATATATAATAAAGTTCAGATGCTTGAGACCGTCAAGATATGGACAAAATTTTCACATACGTTTTTGTTATAATTCATTAACACTAAACTTACGTCTAAATCCAGTGCGTTCATAATTCATACCCAGTAAATAATTATAAAGCTTACATTTTTTATTTACCATTTATATTAATTATAATGAAAAAAGGAGTCCACCAACATATTTCTATATTAAAGGTCAAAGAGCCGCCTGTGGCTCGGTATTCGCGGTTTGGTCAGCCGTTTTCTATAGTTTCCGTAGCGTTTCTCCTGATGCAACATTTTGAATTTGTCTTATTCATTAAAATATACAAATGAGAGTTTCTTCTTGGCAGCTTTTGATCATGATCGGCCATGATGATTCACTCTGTTTCTAATTTTAACTAAGATCCTCAATAATTTATGCATCAGGTTTTTATGTTGTCAGTGTTTATCAGCCATTTTTGTTGTTTAATTTATAAGAGCTTGTAGTACTAGTTTGCTTAATGTCTATGTTTCTCCATCTCATTTCTTCTGTTTCTTTGCCCTTCCATTCGTTTTTTAAGTAATCCTACGATTCATTTCAGTATGTATGTTAATTCCCCAACAAACATCTTAAAACAGTTTTTCAAGAAAATAGTTTTCTCATATCCACGAATGGTTATCCCCCTTTCTAATATCGATGGGTGTTTCCCTCTTAACCTTTTGTTTAAGGTATTGTAGAAGAGCGGTCGTCAAACATATGCTGAATATGTGCCGCCTTAGGGTTTTAAAATAATTCAATGTACCAACAGTATATGTGTTTTTATACAAGTTAAGGTTATACTTGTTCTGCAATGTATTTTATTTTTATTTTAGTAGATAGTATGCAATCTTTAATATATGAAATTGAAACAGCTAAATATCTTCTTTGCATTGTCGTAGTTATTTGTATGTGATGTAATGAAAATGCATACAAGTGGGTTCCCCCTCACAGTAATATGATTGGCTGGTGTCAGCCATAAATACAGACTGATGTGGAGGTACATGGTCTACACTTATG